CATATTGTATGGCAAGGAACTACTACAACGAGGTTTACTCAAGTCCATTGGGAATGGTAATAAAACACGAGTCTGGGATGAAAGATGGATAATGGATGAGCATCCAAGAGTGTCAATCAATAAATAGGTCTTGATAAATATAAACCTATTTGTCTCGGATCTAATTACACCGGCTTACACTTGGAATATTTAGATGGTTCATGATATGTTCCCATACATTGAGGCTATGAAGATTCTAAGCATGCCGGTTGGTCCTTTAGAGGATCGGTACATTTGGGCATACATTGAAACAGGCTCATATTCTGTGAAAAGTGGTTACTGGTTGAGTGCAAACATTCCAGTACTATAGCCAATTCAAAGAACAGAGCTTGAGCAAGTGAAAATCGGTGTAAAAAAGAGAATCTGGTTATTGGAAACTGTTCCAAAAAACCGAGTGTTTTTTTGGAGAGCCATTTCAGGTGCTTTAGCTGTGGCGGAGAGATTAGTGACAAGAGGTCTTCTGGTTAACCAAGTCTGTAAATTATGTAACCAAGGCAATGAATCGATCTCACATGTTCTGTTTCAATGTGCAACGGCAACACAAATGTTTCAGATTGGAAAAGTTCTGATCCCGGCTACTGGTTTTGGAAATTCGTTGGAGGAGAACATGACTTTTTTCATGGATCTCATGGACAACCAGAACATAGATGTAGAGGTCAGAAATGCAATTCTTTGGCTCTTATAGAGTATATGGAAGAATCGAAATACGGTCTTGTATGCAAATACGCAAGAGGCTTTGGAATCAGTGGTTGTTAGAGCTTTAGAGGAGGCTAAGCATTAGCGGGTAATCAACATTGAAACGCTAGCTTACACCCAAGAGGCACAACTTAGAAAAGGACAAGTGAGCAGTACAATTTGGCAGCCTCCACTACAAAGCATCATCAAATGTAACATTCATGCCAACTGGAGAAACGCTAGCTTACACTCGGGTGGAGCTTGGATAGCTCGGGATCATACGGGGCTGGTTAGGTTTCATGCACGGGAGGCTTTCACTTGGTCTCCAAATCGAACTATTGCGGAACTGAAATGTATTGCCTGGTCTCTACAAAGCTTACGGGATCTGCGCATTACACATGTTGCTATTGCAACGGATTGTACAGCGGCTTATGAAGCTTTGTCAAAACCCCAAGACTGGCCAAGGTATCGTTTCATACTATATCAGATTGAGGGCCTTCGTCATGCTTTCCACAGTTGCTCATTTGAAATGGAAACACATCTTTCAAACTCGATCGCTCGGGACATCGCGAAGAATGTCTTTAAAGATGGTCGTTTTCAATCCTACTTAGTGTTTGGTGGTCCATCGTGGCTACATGATCGCATTGCAAGAGAATCTTCTTTGTAACCATCAATCTCCCTTTCTCATTAGGGATCTGATGGCTTTTTCTTTTGAATTTCGTTCGAGCAGAGGATGTGTATTACTTTGGAACTTTTGTAGTTTTGATCACAAGGTTTAAAATAATACTCAGACGT